CCCTCACCTGTGTCTGCTCACACACACCTGCCCCTCCCTCACCTGCTCCACTGACTCCTCCTTGCTCCTATTTTGTTATAAAAATAAAGACATCAATAATAATTTTCCCCCAAAACTAGCTGCAGTACTAGTACCCAGTGTATCATTTATCTCCTCTAAGGTCTGAACCTGCGATATACTATTCCACAGTTCACAGCAAAAGCAAAAAATAAAAAAATATGCCTTCTGGTGTTCAAAGTGGAATTCATTGAGTGACTGTGTGAGGACATCACACTGTTAAAATTTGCTTCTGAATTTTCCCTTTTTCTTACCATTTACACTTCTACATAACGATTTAACTATAGCCGTTTTTAACCTTTAAATCTTTCAATCAAGATTAACACTTCATAAGACCTTAACTTCATTTATCTTTCACTGTTCATCCTTTTAAATCTATGCTATCTTACCCCATCAGACCTTCATACAGATTTCCACAGCTGACTCTCTGTAACTGCTGCATGAGTAGATGTCACCAGACTCAGCAGGTCAGTAGGTAATCTGCTGTTAACTTGCATTTGAGCCATGTTGTTCACAGCACTAGTTAAGCATGATTATGTGAGCAGAGAAACTTCCTCCAAAGTTTTGAGGGTTCATTATGCCCTGGTAAGCTGTAGTGTAGTAGTTACATCTCACATCCTGGAAAGTCAAGGTCACAGTTTGAGACCAGGCTCTGGGGTTTTGACACTGTCACTGTCCACAGTCACTCTTTCTAGTTTACATAGTTAAAGTGCACATACAGGACAAATACAAGTATTTTATCAGTATGGATGGTTCATTTGAAACTCAGAACCTTTCACTCATTGAGCTGCTTTAGGTTTAAGGATTCAAATTAGAGAGAGCCCTGACAACTCAAATTAGAGACTCATGTGAGGCTCATTTTGCTTTCTGATTATACCAAATTATAACATAAACAGTTTAGCCTATGTTAGCTGTTTTTGTTGTTAAGAATGTATAAGCATTACATTTGCCACTAGTAAAAGCTATATTTGATTTGAATACAGAATGTTCAAATTGTATCTGGTGGCAACAGCAGCTCTCAGGAAAACATCAGACAGTCAGTAGGAGCAGTACTAGGAAAAGCAAAGAGGCCTACAGGATCCAAGTATGGAATATATATGAGAGAATATGAGAGTGCTCATCGATAATAGTCTCCATTACTGAGGACATTTTTGTATCTACCATTACCGATATTAGTAACAATGAAATCAAAAAGTACTTTTTTTAAAAGAATGATACTTTATTCAGTATTTGAATAGTGAACTTTTCAGCAATAGAGCTGTGATCTTTAGAAACTATACTGGCATACAATAAAGAACATTTACATACACATACACCCAAGACCAACAGAATTAAATACATTGTAAAGAGCTGATGAGTATCACATATTTGCCTTTAACTGCTTGGTCGGAAAGAAATATGTTATTACTGTATTATCTTAGGTTTACATCTTCCACAAATATGTTTGATGACATTTCGCATCTCCTCTGTCTTTAAAGAGTACACAAATGGGTTCAATAAGGATGGTATTGTTTGTGATAAAACAAAGTTAGTCATGCGAGTATTTGGATTAAAATTAGGAAGATGAACAGCAGTTTTTGCAGTAATAAGAGGAATGAAAAAGATAGCCACAAGCATCAGGTGAGATGTGCAGGTTTTTATAGCTTTTACACGGGCTCCAACAGAAGTCTTCTTCAGAACAATCGCTATATTCACATAACTGCACCCTATTAAAGACAGGGGAATCAAAAATATTACAACACCCCCAAACATGACAAACTGTTGGTTTACTAATGCACTGTTACATGCTATATGATACAATGATTCATGATCACAGTAATAACTCTGAATGACCAAAGATTTACAGAAGGACAGATGATCAATGAGGCCAACTACAGTTCCCAGTATACACAGAGATATGAGCCAAACAAACAGCAGCATCAACACTACTACTGGTTTAGTTACTACACTGTGGTACTGTAAAGGGAAGCATATAGCTATAAACCTGTCAAAAGACATGATGGCCAGTGTCCAGGACTGCATGCTGCTAAAAAACAACACAAAAAACATATAACTAAGACAAGCTTTGAATTCAATATATCTGTTTTCAAACAGAAATGTGTCCAAAAGTTTAGGTATAAGAGAAGTGCTGCCGCACAGGTCTGTGAGAGCCAGGTTAAACACAACCATGTATTTGGGTGTATGGAGAGCTCTGACCAGCAAAATTATCAGGAGAAGAACAATATTTCCAAAAACAGTTGCTAGATAAACAAACCACATGAAAATGTAGAAATATGTTCCCTGTGGAAAGGAAAAAAATCCGTTGATATAAAATTTTGCTGGACGAACATGTAGTAAAGTACTGTTTTCCATGTCCATAGAGTTGAATTTGCAGATTTGCATTTACTAAAGCCAAGTCAAAGTCATGGGGTTTATATACACATATTTATCTAGGAGTGACGCACACGTTCACCTGAGACCTCATGAGGAAATGCTACTTGTGTTCACATGACATTACGTAATTAATGAGACATTTTTATTATAATATTTGACTTTATTCAATAATATTTTTAAATTTAATCATTAAAATGCATAACACATTTAAATGAATCTACAATTGTTGTTAGGCCTTATAGGCTACACTGATACATCACACAGATACATGTATACATTAATTTATGAATGTTCTGGATGCCATCGCCCCGATAAAGGTTAAAATGGTTAAAGATAGGCAAAAAGCTCCGTGGAGGAATGATGACTCAGTCAGAGCACAGAAAAGGGAGTGCCGGAAGGCTGAGCGGAAATGGCGCAAGTCAAACCTCCAGGTTCATTATGAGATTTACAGAGGAACAATGCATATGTACAACTACACTTTGAGTAAAACAAGAGAGAAGTATTTTTCGGACATTATTGGTAATTGCAGTAACAACTCTCGTATCCTGTTTGCAACAGTGAACAGATTAACAAACCCTCCAGCTCCACTGCCACTAGAACTAATTTCCACATCTAAATGTAATGAGTTTGCAGTTTTCTTTAATGACAAAGTTCAGGGCATCAAAAATGCCATCAATTCCACAACACAAATAACAAGCATGCAGCCACAGAGACACTTAGAGCTGAATCACTTTGCACCTGTAACTGACAAAACTGTTTTAGAGATCGTTACCAGTCTGAGTTCATCTACTTGCTGCCTGGACATGTTACCCACTAGATTTCTAAAGTCCTTGAAAAAGCTGTTTACCAACAGCTTACGAACTTTCTCCAAATGAACAACTCCTTTGATGTTTTCCAGTCAGGTTTTAGAGCCCACCACAGCACTGAGACTGCTCTTATCAAGGTGACAAATGACATCCGCCTGAACACTGATGCAGGCAAAGTCTCAGTCTTGATCCTGTTAGATCTGAGTGCTGCTTTTGACACTGTCGATCATGGGATCCTCTTACAGAGACTGGAGGACTGGGTGGGCATCTCTGGTACTGTACTAAACTGGTTCAAGCCCTATCTAGAAGACAGGAAATATTTTGTTGAAATTGGAAACTGTGTCTCAGATCACATGGCCCTGACCTGTGGGGAGCCTCAGGGGTCAATCCTGGGCCCCCTGTTGTTCAATCTCTACATGCTGCCATTAGGCCAGTTAATAAGCAGCAATAATGTGTCCTACCACAATTATGCAGATGACACTCAGATCTACGTCTCTCTCTGGCAGCAGGAGACTATGGACCAGTGGACTCACTTGGTCACTGCATCCAACAGATCAGTGTGTGGATGCAAAACAACTTTCTCCAGCTAAACTCTGACAAGACTGAAGTCATAGTGTTTGGTCCACAGAAACAAAGGGACAGTGTCAGCAGTCACCTCCAGTCTCTCGCTCTAAAACCTTCAAATCAGGCAAGAAATCTAGGGGTAATAATGGACTCAGACTTGAACTTTAACAGTCACATAAAATCAATAACATCTGCAGCCTTTTACCATCTAAAAAACATAGCAAAAATCAAAGGTTTACTGTCTAAAGCAGACTTGGAGAAACTTATCCATGCGTTTGTCTCCAGTAGGTTAGACTACTGTAATGTTCTGCTCACTGGTCTCTCAAAACGAGCTGTGAGACGCTGCAGAACATCCAGAACGCTGCAGCTCGGGTCCTTACTCGAACTAGGAAGTACAAGCACATAAGTCCTGTGCTCAGGTCTCTGCACTGGCTTCCTGTGCCTCAGAGAATAGACTTTAAAGCAGCTCTGCTTGTGTACAAGTCTCTCCATGGCCGAGCACCAAAGTACATCTGTGACATGTTAGTGTCATATGAACCATCTCGCACTCTGAGGACCTCAGGGACCACCTCCTGCTGGTGCCCAGAGTCAGGACTAAACAAGGGGAGTCAGCGTTTCAGGTTCATGCAGCTAAAACCTGGAACAGTCTTCCTGAACATGTGAGACAGACTCTTCTGTGACGCTGTTTAAATCCAGGCTCAAAACATTTCTGTTTAACTGTGCATATAACTGAAAGGTTTTCATTCCGCACTCTTCTCTCCAATTTATGTCTCTCTTTTTTAAATTTTAATCTTCATGATTATTTATGTTTTGATTTGTTTTTATTATGATATTTCTTATTCTGTAAAGCACTTTGAATTACTTTGTGTACGAATTGTGCTATACAAATAAACTTGCCTTGCCTTGCCTTGCCTTAATTTACACCTATTTATTTAATTCTTCTCATGCAGTATTTTATAATTGTTTTTGTTTCTTTATTTTTTTTGGGGCATCACTTTGGGAAAAGGTGATATATATATATATATATATATATATATATATATATATATATATCACCTTTTCCCAGGATCAGAAAATGTAAATATTTTTCATTAAATAAATTGTCTTTAATAATAAATAAAGACCTTCAAACTTGAAGGGGATTGCAAATTACATACCTACAAATAGCCCACACTGTAAGTACTCTCATTCACCATTGTGCTAGTTCTTTCTCCTAGGTCTGTATGTCCTGCAAATGGTTTTAATGGCGGTCAGGATCTCATCAGTCTTCAGAGAGTATATAAAAGGGTTCAGCATAGATGGAAATGTCTGTGACAAAGTAGAGTTGATCATTCTAGTATTTGGGTGGAAGTTTGGGAAGTAAACAGCTACATTTGTGCCCACAAGAGGAATAAAAAATATGGCAACAAGTATTAGATGGGAAGAGCATGTTTTAATAGTTTTAAATCGGTTTCTACTAGATCCAGTTCTCCTCAGTGCAACAGCTATACTTACATAACTGCAGCCTATTAAAACTAAAGGAAAAATGAACATAATAGCCCCACCAAAGACAGCAAATCTTTGGTTTACTAATGCACTATTACAGGCAAGACGATACATGGATGCATGATCACAGTAAAAGCTCTGAATGACCAAAGACTTACAAAATGAGAGACGATTTATGAGGCCAGCTACACTTCCTATTACACCAAAAACTAGGAGCCAAACAAATAAGAGTGCCAGTGCCACAGCTGGTTTAGTCACCACACTGTGATAGTATAAAGGTAAGCATATAGCTATAAACCTGTCATATGCCATTGTCACAAGTGTCCAGGACTGCATGCTGCCAAAAGTCAACACAAAAAACATGTAACTAAGACATGCCTCATAGGAGATGTATCTGTTTTCAAACAGAAAGGTGTCCAAGAGTTTGGGAATAAGAGCAGTGCTGCCGCACAGATCTGTCACAGCCAAGTTAAACACAATCATGTATCTGGGCGTATGGAGAGTTCTGACCAGCAAAATAATCAGAAGAAGAACCACATTTCCAAAGACAGTCAGTATATAAACAAAACACATAAAAATATAAAAATAAGTGCCATGGGGAAAATCATAAAACCCATTAATATAAAATTGAGCAGGATGGACAAAAGTCATATTAAGTAAAGACTCTTCCTCCATGTTCAAAATCCCAGTTCCCAGAAACAGCTTGAGTGAAGAGACAAGTGAAGACCGCTGATGACACATGAGGTTAAATACACACCACATACTCCCCTGACGCTGATCCACCATTGCATATACTCCTGCAGGCAAAACCTCTCCACATCCTGCATTCCTGCAAAGAGATTACCATCCAAAATATACAATACACAATACACTATACATGATTATCCCCTAGGGGTAAAGTGCTGTATGTCTAACAGTGTAAAGAAAAGACAAACCTCAGGAAGATTAGCTCACACAGTACACTGCTTATGTTAATGGGAATCAAAGTAAACAATAAGCAATGAATGCCACTATAAACACACACACACACACATATATATATATCCAAGTCGGCCCCTCTACCAGAGGCCTGGGAGCTTTAGAGTTCTGCACAGTATTTTTGCTGTTATACAGTTTTTTGGACCGAGATGTCTGATGTTTTTCCTAAGATCTGATGTTGCCACTTCTCCAGCTTGGGGGTTATAGCCCTGAGTGCTCTGATGACCATGGGCACTACTGAAGCTTTCCAGGCTCTAGAACAGGGGTGGGCAAACTTTTTGGCTCGGGGGCCACATAGGTTTCTAAAATTTGACTGAAGGGCCGGACAGAAGACGGGACATGACGTGTTCAGAGCCTGGCTCCATTGCACTCGTATTTACTCTCATGTAGGACGTATTCTGCACTATGCGCTGCAACTTCTAGACATGTAAGAACTCATGAGAAGTATAATGAGGTCTGCCCCACTGTACATCAAAGGCAAACATGTATCCCAAGCACTTAGACGACACAGAGCCTATACTGACATACAGACTCACCAAACCTTTAGGACTTCCTAATACAGCGAGTATGAGATTCATGCCTTTGCTTCACATAGTTAAGAGCGGAAATAGTGCAGCCTTATGTCTTGAACACTTCTACCTCATTCATGGTCCGAATACACCGCCCGAAATGACTCCTGTCAATACTTTCCCATAAAGCATTGCGGCCAACAAAAGTCGCCGCACCTCAATTATATATAGTGCGCCATCTACCGGGAAACGCCGGAAATGCAAGAAAGATAAAACAGCAGTAAGGTTTATTTATTGTAATTTGGTCAAGTTCTGTGGGTCAATTTGAATGGCGGCATAAGGTCACCGGGCACTAAATAACTGGATACAGTATTGCTGCTTGTAGCTGCCTCCAGTTGTCGTAGCTGGCTGGAACTTCAGCAGAAAAAATCCCATGGGCCGAGACAAGATTTTTCTCATGGAGGCAATGTGATCACAAATTGCTCGTGTTCGTCTGACAGGTCACCTACAGCTTTCAAAAATATCGGATTTGTTGGCGATTTTTACCTAATTTTAGATCATAAACTTTTTCTCGCTCAAAATCCTTCAGTTGTCTTAAAAAAACACTTTATATTCGTTAGCTCCTGCTCCGCTCTAGCTCCTCTCGCTCTGATTGGTCAATCAATACTTTAACCGCAATACTCAATCAATACTTCCGGTGGCTGTGGGCCGACCGAGCATGCGCAATACTCAATCAATACTTCCGGTGGCTGTGGGCCGACCGAACATGCGCAGTAGTGCTCTTTTCTCCCGCGGGCACACGCGAATGCACGCGAACGCACGCACGATACGCGGGCTCGTGTATCACGTGATCGCTTTGACCAATCAGAGCGAGAGGAGCTAGAGTGAAGCAGAGCGTATCCGAAGCTAATGGTTATAAAGCGTTTGTTAAGACAACTGAAGGATTTTGAGCTGAGAAAAAGTGCATGATCTAAAAATAGGTAAAAATCGCCACAAAATCCGACATTTTTGAAAGTTGTAGGTGCCCTGTCAGCCGAACACGAGCACGTTTGTGATTACATTGCGCTCTATGAAAAAAATCATCTCTCGGCCCATGGGATTTTTTCGACTGTAGTACCAATGAGTGGCCACTACGTCAACTTGAGGCAGCTACAAGCAGCAATACTGTATCCAGTTATTTTAATAGATCCATGGGCTTGACACTGGCTCTTACGGCCCTCACGGCCCTCCCATTAGGTATATAGCAGGTGTTCACATCTCTATAAATCATATCATGGGGTAATATGTTATACAACTAACACCATCATTTGGAGAACTTACAGTGCCTTAACTTCATATGTCATATTTTCTAAGGCGAACATAGCGAAACACTAGAGTTTAATTTATACACACTTATTTAAGAATTAATACAGTCTTATGTCTTGAACACTTCTACCTCATTCATGGTCCGAATACACCGCCTGAAAATGACTCCTGTCAATACTTTCCCATAAAGCATTGCGGCCAACAGAAGCCGCCGCACCTCAATGTATATATAGTGCGCCGTCTACTGGGAAACGCTGGAAATGCAGGAAAAATAAAACATTAACAAGGTTTATTATTATTATTTATTCAAGTTCGGTGGGCCGGATTAAAAGGTTTAAAGGGCCGCATATGGCCCCCGGGCTGTAGTTTGCCCATCCCTGCTCTAGAAACTCTAGTTTCTCTTGTTCCTTTTTCATACGCTCCCATCATTTAGTATTGCAATGTCCACCTCCATGGCTTTGTTCTGCCACCACCACTGTTTCTAGTTGGTTCGCCATCACCATTCTGTCACTCTGTATCTGGAAGTGCCTCAGAATCTTGGCGCAGCCATTCTCCACAATCTTTGAAGGTCTTTTCACCTTGACCCTGGGGTCTCCAGGCCATACTCTGCACAAATGTTTCTGTACACTATGGTATGTGTATGGTCTGTACACTTGGTTATGTCTGTACACTTGATTATGTTGCTCCATGTATGCTTTTTCTGCCAGCATCTTACACCCTGCAGTGATGTGCTGGACTGTCTCAGGGGCCTCTTTGCACAGCCTACACTGTAGGTTTTGTCTGGTGTGGTAGATGTGGGCCTCGATTGCTCTGGTGCTCAGGGCCTGCTCCTGTGCAGCAGGATGTGTGCCACTGTGCTGTCCTTCAGACCATCCTTCTCTAGTCTTTGGTAGGATTTCTTGATATCATCCACTTCAGTTATGTTTCGAAATTTACCGAAGGAAACAAGCAACATAAAATAAGGACGGTGCGCTGGACAGGTCAACCTTATACAGGCCCGTAGAAGCTGCCAGCGTACCGCTGTCCCTACTCTAATGATTACACAACCCAAAAACTATCCCTACATAAAATAACTAACAAAAACAAGACATTCACCAGGGCAAACAAAAAATCGAAATACAGGATAAAACAAAACGGTGCCCAAATGTAACAGTATGTCATCTGGTCATCAGCTTTGTCCTTGATGTACTAGAGCTTCGATGTCCCATCCCAGACAGTGGCTCTCACTCACTAGTCCTTGGCCTCCTTCCTTCCAGTTTGGGATGGTCAGGAGCTTTTGTGTCTCAACATGTGGTTTGTATCTCCTCCTATGGCCAGCTTATGATCCATGCTGGGTATCTGATCACTAGCAGGGTGTAGCTGTTTATTGCCTGGGACTGTTCTAGCCATTGAGCTGACTTCTTAGGACTTGCCTCACTTTTTGTCGCCTCTTATCAAGGGATGCCGAGGTACTTGTAACTTTCCTCAATGTCTGCTATTGTTCCTTTTGGGAGTGAGACCCCTTCTGTGTGGACTACCTTCCCTCTCTTTGTCACCATCCTACTACTTTTCTCAAGCCTGAATTGTTATGTTGGTGGTGTAGAACAAACGAAGGCTAGATGAATCTTCAATAACGTTTAATGCCGACAATGCAGTTTTTCACATAGCTACATTACAATGGTATTAACTCTCTATCTATCACTCAAGTTCCCCTATTTTATGTTACGTTGCCCTCTACAGGTGAGGCGTACATCTCTGTAATACTATATTAATTATTATTGTAATCACATTTACATATCTGTCAACACAACATGAATGACATTCCAATGTCTGTGCTGTAGATGCTGGTGATCCAATAGAATGCTTTGATGCAAATAATAAAATTAAGTTGTAGGGTCATGTCTTGCCCTTGATCTTAGCACTAGTGCAGTTGTGGGGCATGGAGCTCTAAACAAGAGGTGTGTCGTGCCTGGATATCAGGTGGAGTGGAGCAGACTGTGTGTGCAAAACTTTGTGTATTGGGAATATATCCGGAAGGTTTATTACAGATGAAAAAGCAAGCAAAATTATTGGACTCTGGACTACTACATGCAAGAAGAACCATCGCCTTAAACTGGAAAAACATTGAAGCCCCCTCAACAAAACAGTGGGTTAAGGAAATTTCAGAATGTGTCGGCCTTGAAAGATTGACATTTATAGCAAAGGGAAAACGAAAAGACTTTGTGAAATTATGGGAACCTTATTGAAATATTATATCCAAAAAGTAGAAGTGATGTATGTGTAGGTATATATGTGTATATATATATATATATATATATAGAATAATATTGTTATTGTTGTTGTCCAGCATTGACAGTGATGATGATAGCAGTAACAAAAACAGATTTTTATTTATTGTCATAAATGTTGTTGTTATTGTTGTAGTTATTACAATTTTATTTTAGTATTATTATTTACCTCTCTCATTTTATTGTTTATTAATTATTATTATTTATTTATTTTTATTTTAGTATTATTACTTTTTATATATATTATACCCATTTATTTATTCATGTTTCTCTACTAATTTTTAATTAATATATTTCTATTTATTTTTATTTATCTATTTATTTATTTTTATTATTGTTGTGTGTATGTATATGTATACATATATTTATTTATATTTTATTTTATTCGTTTTAAGTACATATGGTCACCAAATATAAATCAAAGACTCACCTGCGATTGATGGATTGTATTGTGCAAGTATTGCATAGTGAATGTGTGAATGTGTATGAGTGTGTGAGAGTGTGGAATTTGTTATTTGTTATTATTATTATCATTATCTTTATTGTATTTTATTTATTTATTTTATTATTATTATTATTATTATTATTATTATTATTATTGGTTATATGTTGACCTGTGTTAACGTGGTCAGTTGTTCAGATGGAATTTTTATTGTCTGAAAATTAATAAAAAATACTTGGGGGGAAAAAAAAAAAAAAAAAAAAAAGGACGACAGCAGAAATAAGTTTTAAGAAGGATGTAAAAAGGGTTGCACCTGCCCTGTCTGAGAAAAGTGTATAAAGTGTGTGGTGAGGGGTTTTACAGCCTTAAAACAGATATAATAATTGTAAAATATATAGTTGACTACTTCGTGGATTTCACCTATTGCCTGTTATTTTTAGAACGTAACCCCCGCGATAAGGGACTGTACTCTCACCTCGCAACCTGTGCACATGGCCTCCCACTTGTCCCAACTGGGATGGGAAACAGAGAATTTCTTGTACAAGTCACTGTTAAATGCGCTTTTGCGCTTCGGTATCTTGCAGGCTGACCGACTGTTTTTGTCTCACTCCTTCTGAGTCACAGAGAACTACGAGAGATGCTCAGTTTAATGAACGGTACTGAAAACCCGGACATTTGCATCACTTTATTAAAAAAAAACCTGGACGCCCACGACAGGACACAAAATATGGACATGTCCGGGGAAAAACGGACGTTTGGTCACCCTAGGTAGGCTACCATCAGCCATCTGACAGCTTGGGGCTGTGACAGCAGAGCAGATGCACATCTCATTTGTGCTGCTCAGTAGTGGTCATTAGAGCTTTGTACAGCATATCAAAAGATGTATAATGCACATGAGCACCTGCGCATCCTGCTCTGTCCAGTGGAATGCAAAGAAAACCAAAAAGGTTGACGTGTGTGCGCATGCATGGGCTTACAGGGGTGGACCTGCAGTGTTCAGAACACAAACCCAGACAGTTCTGGGTTCAAACAGTTCAAACAGCCCAACCAAAATTCTATATTCCTAGCACCTCTACTGGTGCGTACTTGCATCATGGGGCTTCGGAGCTAGTTTATTGTACCCATATATAATTTTTTCCACAACTCTGTTGTCTGGTAATGAGGCAAAGATTGCAGACATTACCCACACTGGCAGTGCATTTAAATGCTACAGCGGTCACAGAGTGGTTGAGAGTTGAAGTTGAAAGTTGAAAGTTGAGACGTTTTTGCTATATACTTGTACTGTCCCACTCCAGCATCTGGCAGTGAAGTACAGTCCGACCTGGACATGCCCCTCCTTAAAGCTAGCACTAGTGCGAAGATCGAGGGCAAGAGAGGGCCCATAATGTTAAAATTAACAGTTGTCTTTTTGAAGCCACTGTGTTATGCTGCATTTCTATTCTTAAGAGAGACACAAATCATTAAAGTCCCTAACAAGCCATTCAGCAACCACAATGTGCAGACATCCTCTTTCCTCATTCACATATGACATTAACAGAGACAGTAGTTTAACCATTTGTTTTCTGCATTTGGTCCATCCTTCACTCGAGCAGAGGACAGTTCGATTCCCCCAAAGTTTTGATTGATTATCACATTAATGTCTCTTTGTGCCGTGGTCTGCTTCTCCTCCAGATCCTTTTAATGGCAGTGAGTATCTCCTCCGTCTTGAGAGAGTAAATAAAAGGGTTTAACAGGGCTGGCACTGTGTGAGTCAAAGCTGAGTTGATCATCCTTGTATTTGGGTGAAAGTTTGGGAAATGTACCGCTATATTTGTGGTAATGACTGGAATAAAAAATATAGCCACAAGTATTAAGTGAGATGTACAGGTTTTAAAAGATTTAAGACGCTCTCCTCCAGAGGCAATCCTCTTTAGTGCAAATGTAATACAGACATAACTACAACCTACAAGAGCCAAAGGAACCAAAAGCATTATAACAGAACTAAAAATGCCAACTTGGTTGTTTATGAAATAGCTGTTACATGCAATACGATACACAGGGCCATTGTCACAGTAAAAACTCTGAAGAACCACAGTTTTACAAAAGGACAGACGATCAATAAGGCCAGCCAGAGGTGCTATTACTCCAAGAGCTAAAAGCCAAACAAAAGTGAGTAATGCTGCAATAACTCGTTTAGACACAACACTGTGGTAGTGTAAAGGGAAGCAAATAGCAATAAACCTGTCAAAAGACATTGTTACAAGTGTCCAGGACTGAACACTGCCAAAAAACAACACAAAAAACATGTAACTAAGACACGCCTCATAGGAGAGGAATCTGTTTTCAAACAGAAAGGTGTCCAAGAGTTTGGGAATAAGAGCAGTGCTACCGCACAGGTCTGTCACAGCCAGGTTAAACACAATCATGTATTTGGGCGTATGGAGAGTTCTGACCAGCAAAATAATCAAGAGAAGAACCACATTTCCAAAGACAGTCACTATATAAACAAAACACATAAAAATATAAAAATAAGTGCCATATGGAAAATCATAAAACCCATTAATATAAAACTGTGCTGGACGAAAAAAAGTCATATTTGTTAAAGCAAGGCTTTTCTTCATATTCATTGACTCCTGTGGGAAAATGACAGTAAAAAGCATCTACACACTGTACACTGAACAAATGAACGCCTTTGAAAATGCTTTTATTGTAGGGTATACCTGTCCCTCAATCCCCAATCAACGTCATAGTTCAGTGCTGTGTCTTTCATATGCATTAGGTTGTTGAAATGATCTTTGGGGACCAAATATACTGTATATAAATATTTTGTATGCATACAGAAGACATCAAATATATGATGTAGCATATATGGAATTATGTAACAAAGAAAAAATTTTCACTAACTCCTTTACTAATATCCTTAGTGTTTCAGACTCTCAGTTCAAACAGAATCTGTTTCTGAACCCTTTGGAGCACAAACAAATGGCTGTACTCATTGAGAAGCTAAGGCTCTTTAGTTTTGGCCTCTGCTGTCCTCTAATTGTACTCTGCACTCTCATTTTAAGTGCAAACAAGCTCTACACAGAGGAAAGTCATCATTCAAATTGTGCCTGAATTTTCTGGGGTAAATATAAAAATAGCAGTAGCATGTGGTGTCATTTATGGGTCCACTCCCTACGCAGACATGTCCTATTCAAGACTTTATTTCTTTTTATCAATGCTGGATAGAATTATATAATTACACATACACAGTATTGAGCTGGCTGATATAATTAAACTATATAATCTAGAATATAAATTATAAAATGTCCCAGAATGACTTTTTTAGCCAGCTTACTCCATTTTCAATATTTGCAATATTAATTAAGCTGGGTAATGTATGTTTATTTAATTTAATGTAACCAGTTGCTCTAAATTCAAACTCTATTGATAGATTCATTTAATATACATTTTTAATATTTATTCATTTCATTATTATATTAATCCATTTATCCGTGGCCAGGTCATGCAGCAGCCTAAGCAGGGGCATCTGCCCGAGCCACCTCAGCTGGCTGGCTCCTCTCGACATGGAGGAGCACCTGCTCTACTCCAAGCTCCTCCCATGTGACCAAGCTCCTAACCCTATTTCTAAGCAAGAACCCAGCCACTCTACGGAGGTAACTCATTTCACAAACCCACTGAGTTCTGTCATGGCCCATATAAAATTCTATATTCCTGGTACTTCTGCTGGTGCATACTTGCATCGTGGGGCTCCGGAGCTGTGTTATTGTACTCATACAGAACCCTTCCCACACTCAACATTACCCACACTGGCAGTGCTTCTAAATGCCAAAGTGGTCACAGATTGGTTCAGATGCCGTCACCATATATATACTTGTACCATCCCAACCTCCAGCAGTGAAGTACAGCCCGACCTGGACACGCCCCCTCCTTAACGCTTGCGCTTAGTGCTAAGATTGGGGGCAAGATCAGGCCCCGAGTCTGGAACAAATGATGGCCAGCTACCTACGGCTCAGCTTCTGTTGCTTTTTATCCTTGGCTGCATTTGATAAGGTGAGCCAGTGGAACACACACCCAACCCACTTTTCTAGTGGTGTGTGGGGGGTCCTCATTACATGGCCCAAGTGGATACAGCATCTAAGACCAGTCATGCCATGCAACCTACATGGTTTAACCAGTTAACAGTCCAGTATATCAGCAGCTGCTTACTACGCTGTCAGCTATAGCACCTTTCATTTCTACTTGTTATGTTCAGCCATGCCAAGCCTTTGCAGCAACAAGTGCTATTACGCATCACCTCTTGATGACAACCTTCTACCAGCCTGCCTATGAGGTGATCTAGCTTGTTCCTGGCACTGTGAGTATTGAGCAGGGTGGCACAACAGCATCTATGCCAGTCCAGAACCAGACCACATCAGTTGGCCCAGCTTTTCCAGTGCAACAACTTACGCCACTCCTCAACCTACAGTCAGCTACGACATCACCTAATGTGGCTCAGCACCACCAGCTGCAATGTACTTGTCCATCTTTGTCTTTACAGCCTGTTCAACAGCCACTGCAAGCTCCTACTGCGCAGCCAGTGTACCAGCCACGTCATCCTCTGGAACATGCTCCACAATCTGATCCACCCTCTTCCCAAGAACCAGTTGGTGACTACAGCTAACCCATCTTCACAGGGACATGATGTCTACCTGCACCGGTTTGCATAGCAGCAGTCTCCATTCGGCTTTCAATCGATCCTCTAATTCCAATACCTATGCAAGCAAAGCTGATTTGTGATAACAGGAGTCAAATTATCTTTGACCCATCTTCCAATAATTTATGTGATTATTACCTACAGCGATTACAAGTAGCCCTGAGCCTGGCCACCAAGCGGGGAGGAGTGAAGCAGAGCAACGTGAACAGGCATCTGCTCAGTCAATTTTGCAGTGTATGCTGGGATAACAGTCTCATCTCTGAGCTCCAGTTGAAGCAGAGAAAAACAAATCCACCTTCATTTGCTGAACTGCTGCTGTTATTAAGAATTGAAGAAACCGTGAATCATGTAAAGCCCAGTGGATGAAGCAACACTTTGGAACATCTAAACAGAGGGTTGCTACTCAAGCTCAGTTCATAGTAAAAGAAGATGGAGCTTCTGCTGCCCTGTCCTTGCTCAATGAGGACAGCAAGCAAATGGCTGAAATACAGAAACAACTTGCCGCTCTAACTGCCTCCCATCCATTGTATCATCCAAGAGGCCCCCCAGTCCCAAATCCACACACTAGACAAAGAACAGCTCCAGATCGTCAAGCTCAAAGCCTGTTTTCTGTTTCCACTGTGGAGAAGATGGAGACAGCAAGGCACAATGTGAGAACCGTCCCAACCCATCTATCCATTACACGATCTACTCCAAGTAGAAGGTGCCGCTTTGCAATGTCCCATACCTTGGCTATGTGGAAATAACAATACAGTTTCCTAAAGCCTACATTGGTGAAGAACATGACACATCCACACTAGCTCTAGTTGTCCCAGATGCACACCCTGATGTTCCATCTACTGTACTCATCGGCATGAACACTCTTGAACCGCTCTATAAGCTGTATATTGGTGAACATTCCACATTTCTACCCAATGCCCAGTTGTCACACCAGCAGAGGGATCAAGGCAGCATCAGAGATTTGAGACTTCTCAGCAAGGCTCCAGTGCCTGTTCCGACCAGAGTGGGGGCGGCATGGAGAAGAAGTGAGAAGCGGGGTGTAGCGGAGATTCCATGTGAAGACCGTACTTTTGGGAGTATTCACGTGTTTCGGAGGGATGTAGTCAAGGCGAAGGCCACTTGTTGTCAAGGCTGCCACTTTAACTATAAAGTACTGCAGGAAACACTGATATCTCCAGTAATGTCCTATAGTGACCTGCAATATGAGGGTCCAGGACTAAAACAGGACTAAAATAGGTCTAAACCAGGACTAAACCACAACTAACCCACGACTAAACCAGGACATCGGGACGGGCCCAGGGATGTGCCCACGTAGACGCGAGTGGGCTAAGGGCAGCCATCTCCTGATCACGCTTTGTGGACATCCTGCTCCGCAGACTCGGGGTTCTCTCTCTCGCTCTCTCTCTCATGTCCAAGATTAGTCCTGGTTTAGTCCTGATTTAGACCTGATTTAGACCTGGTTTAATCCTGGTTCAGCCCTGGTTTAGTCCTCCTGTTTCAGTCAAGAATCGCGTACCCCCACTTTAAAAATCCCCACTACACCACTGGTAATTAATAATAGTAATACATAGTAATAATAATTTCGATTTACTTAGCCTGCCACTTACAGATGCAGTTTGCTGCTTTGGCTGGTGCACTCTCTGTCCAATCAACGGGTCTAAATACAGTGACGTTGCCGTAGGCCTGTTATAAGGCCCTGGTGACACCAACTTAAAATCTGATTGGTTGAAGCAACAGTTTCATGGACATTTATTTTGTGTTTGAGGGCCTGCAGAATGGATTGTGAAGGCCTCAGATATTTTTTTAGGCCAGCAGAGAAGGCCTTGCAGGCTCTGACAGCCCAACACTGTATCTCTTAAAACTCTTCCACCATACAAGGTCCCCGTGGTCATCACCAGTGAATCAGAGCAAGACACATTCATTCCACCCTGCAGTGTCATTGCTGATCTAGAGGCATACCACTGCGTCCACTCAGAACATCGAGTGACTCATCTTCCAGGTGAGAAACCACCATTCAGCCTGAATATCAACCTCAATGATTTTCCACTGTCACCAAAGTGGAAGAAGAGGGTCATGTAGAAACTGGAAGCCGTCGAGGAAGTATTGTCACAACATGATCTGGATTGTGGATGCACAACTGCCGTCAAACACCACTTTCCACTCCACAACAATGCACCATGCAAACAACATGCCCAGCCAATCCACCCTCAGGATATAGAAGCTGTCTGCCACCATCTACGGGAGCTTTTGGCAGCTGGTGTAATAAGGGAGTCATCATCACCCAGCCCCATCTCCTGTCGTAGTGGTTTGGAAAAAGAATGGCAAAGTCAGATTGTGTACTGACCGCAAATTAATAGCCTCATTCATCAGCGGGTTTCATTTTATGGAAATTGCCTGACCTCGCAGCATTAGGATTTGTTCGCTCGATGGTAGGCGGGTACTTTTTTAATTTAACCAATCGCTGCAATTTGGTTGTGACGTATGTAATGTGCCGCTAATGGGGTTAACTGGTATATTAAGCTTTTCCAAAGTCCTGTAGGAAGAAGGGCAATAATGCATTTCCCCTTGATAAAATTCACCAAATATTCTCTTTTTTTTTTTTTTGTTTGTTTTTTGTCAACAGAGAATGCTTCATCTACATCCATCTCGATCACTTTGTTTACTGTTGTGCTGTACCACAAAAAGGGACCCAGTCATGGCTTCACAGCTCTTTGCTGATTGGCCAGTGCGCAGTCTACAACTCCCGGGGTTCTTGCAAATTGTCTAGTGTATTCAATTCCTGACCTAGTAGCTGCAGAGAAATGAAATTGAGCAGAGGCACTAGTTGGCGCCTGGCTAGCAAATTAAACCTCCAGACCATAAAAGACGCATATGCCCTACCAAATCTTGAAGAATAATTTTCAACCCTTTCTGGATCCAAATGGTTCTTAA